GAACCCCCTCCGCTTCCGGGTAGTTGGCGTCACTTCCGGGCGAGCCCCCCAATCGCACGGCGCCCGCAGCTCCCCAGCCCTACCCTCCCGGCCAAGATGGCCGCCCTCCTGTGCCTCAGCTGCTGGGCGGGGGGCCGGGGGGTTCTCCCCGCCAGGGCTCCCCTTCCCCTCTTCCGTTGACCCCGAAACCCATCAGGTTGACCCCTCGGCGTTTCAGAATCCTGCTGGGCCGAGTGAGGCGGTCCAAAATGATCCCTGGAGGGGGCAGTGCCAGACGTTTTGGGGTCCCCTTCCTCAGCGTCGCAGCTCACAGCTTTCCTCCTGGAGAAACGCCCCCTAACACCCTCCCGGCTGCTGGCGGAGGGGCGGGACCTTTGAGGGAAGGGGCGGAGCTAGTGCAAAGCAGGTGATTACGTGTCACTTCCGGGAGATAGGATGACCTCATTGTGTAGTTGGACAACCCCCCCCTCATCTAAATGGCTGTGTCTCACCTCTGGCTGTTTCTTTTCTTTTTTCTTTAAAATTTCTCTCATTCTTTTGTTATGTTGAGGGTCTTTAAAAAGTACATGTCAGTTTAGATTCCCACAAACTTCCTGATTCTCACTTCTATTTAGACACCTCTCCTCCTCTCTTACCTCTGTTGACTCCCTGATTTTCTTGTCACTCACAACTTTAACATCTTTGGTAATAAAGTTTGCAACGCTCCCTTAAGAAAACTCCAGGCAAAATCCAGTTAAAAATCAGCCTGGTTGTGTCTTACATATTGGAGCGAGGATCGAATGGGCATATTGTGACCTTGAGTTTCTTTTCTGCACTATCAAAATATATTTCTACCAACTTTTTTTAAGTGTGCAATTTTAAAATTCTGTGACCTTAATTTGGAAAATTCAGAACTAGCCAGGGCTTAACCTATATCAATTACTCGTGTGGGCTATATGAATGTGTAAAGTGTGCCTTTTAGAATTGTTTTTGGTGCTAAGGATCTGTCAGTAAACATGGCTTTAAATGAGTGAAAATGTTATCTATGTGCTATATCATTAAAATAGGTGCGGGATACACTACTTAAACTTAGCCAACAAATTTACAAAAGTGAAGCAGCACTGAATGGATTTGAATTACAATGATCTTCCAGTGAAAGTATATTTGAAGCCAGATCAAAACTACATAAGATACAGTTATTACTGGTCAGGTGAAACCAACATTTTGAAGGTTAAAGAAAAATCCTGGATTTTCTCTCGTTGACCTCCCCAGATTTTTTAACTTATTTTTCTGAATCTGTCTACTTCTCCCTTCCGTAAAATCTTCTAATAATGCCAATAACTGTCTTGAGAATGTTATGGGGACAAATTAGGTAATATTTGTATGGCATTGAGATTCTATGGAAGAAAGGTACCTTTGGCAACTTCAGTAGTTACTTTCATGTATATGATATTTAACACTATAGCACCTAGTTAAGTTTTGCGAGTGGCAGGATGAGATGGGAATACTACATTTTAGGACACAACTTTTCACGAATATACATGCCAAGGTGAAACTTCTAAAGACTTTGGAGAAAGTACTCATAGAGAATTTTTACCCCAGATGTAGGGCGCGGGGAGCGATTCCAAAAACCCCTTTTGGAAACAAGTCACATAACTGTATCTGTTTATTTCATACTGTAGTTTAAGCCTCTTACTTCCTATGGTAGTAAAACATAAGGCCAGTAGGTAAAGATTATTTCTGCATATAGATGGGAATTCTGTTTCTTTAATGAATATGAATGAATAACACCTTAGATGGCATAAGTGTAGGGTAGGATTGCCCAGGTTTGGGCCCCAGTTCTGCTAAAATAATGAGTAGTGTGAGCAAGGTAACCTCTTCGAACCTCAGTTTCCCCCTTTATATTAATATAATGGGAATAACACCAGTGCCTCCTTTGAAAAGTTGCTTTGCCAGATTAAAGGTGGTAATCCGTTCAAAGTTCTCAACATTATTTCCGATAGGTAGTAAACACTAATTAAACAATAACTGCTAGTATTATTTTTTATTACCATTATTGTTATTATGTTTGCATATTACCAAGATACATCTATCTAAATCCATTGAGTAGTCTTGGTATCTCTAATAAAGGAAAGTATTTTGAACTACTTCTAGGAAATAGGTGCGATTAATTTGTGCTTTTAAATATATTTTCTCTACTTAAGCTATGAGGCTATGAAATGAGATACAAAAGCAGGTACTAATGGCATATTTATGATTCCTATTTCTCTGTGCCCTGAAAGAACATAATCTAGCAGTGAAATTAGCTAAGTAAATTGCACTCACTATATAAGACTGACAAATGAGCTTCTGAGTCAAAAGTGTTTACTACAATTAAAGTTTCAAGTAGATCTATAAGATTTGCAGACTGTCAAGTGATTTCAACGTTACATTTGTTGTTTCAACGATTTTATCCTTCTGCCTTCTTTGGAAGAGGGATACATTATAGAACCCAGAAGGTTCTAAAATTAAAATCATTTAAAATGGTAATAAACCTATCATGAAGATTCACTGAAAGGTTAACATAAACTTGGACTGTGCTTTGAATGGTACTTTTTTTACCTGAAATTGTTGGGTCAATTAAGGGTTCCAAGGAAGTCCAACATTTAGCACAATAATGGGCACTCAATAAATATTGGTTAAACAAGTGAAAATTTAAATTAATTAAATTCATCTTCCAGATAACTGAAATTTAACCTTTTAAGTGCCCCCAAAATTGTATTTTACATTTTGGTATGTAAATCTTCATAAAACTTGTTTATGTGTTACAGAGATACCTCCAAACTTAGTTAAACAGGGTGGGAAAATAAACAGTAATGCATTGCCCACTGGCCAGCACACCAGACAGTTAAACTTTTCTTGACAACTTGACGTGAAGGTGTCTACTCACTACCTAAGAGGCTCTGACTATGTGCCTACCCAGGCCTACTTGGTGGTAGCAGTGGTGGTTTCTTATAACAATTTATTTAAATGTCTGCTCTTTGTGGTTCAGTCAGTTACAGCTTTGGCCCCATACTTCCACTCTGATATAAATCAAGAAGCCAAACAACGAACCATGTTGGAATTGCAGGTATAGTAATATGGAATAGATGTTTAGAACCTCCCCTATGAATAAAGTAAGAAAACTTTAACATATGGAAGTTGTGAGATAAATTTTAGTTGATGAGAAGCCTTGAGGGTTTTTCTTCCCAATGCTCTACTATTTTCAGAAAGGCAAAAGGGGAAAGTTAGTGCTGAATGCTATTATGTACTAAACAGTCTCCCAGTCATTTTTCCTTTTAATCTTACAACAGTCCAAAAAGGTGTGGGCGTTAGTATCCTCTATCATTTATTTATTTATTTTTGAGACAAGAGTCTCACTCTGTCTCCCCAGCTAGAGTGTAGTGGCATCATCATAGCTCACTGCAACCTCAAACTCCTAGGCTCAAGGGATCCTCCTGCTTCAGTCTCTACAGGTGTGCGCCGCCACACCCAGCTAATTTTTCTACTTTTTGTAGAGACGGGGTCTCGCTTTTGCTCAGGCTGGTCTCAAACTCCTGACCTCAAGCAATCCTCCTGCCTCCGCCTCCCAGAGTGCTAGGATTACAGGCCTGAGCCACCACACCTGGCCAGTATCCCCATTTTAACGGTCTAGATAACAGCCTCAGTTCTGCCAAATGACTTAGCCAGAGCCACACCCTTGGGAGTAGGGGGCTATAGATTAGAATGCAGACAGGTGTAATTCCAAAGCCTATGCTACTTACCCTACTATTGCCCTGAGCCACTCAGCTATTGGCACCTCTAAATGAAGTCAGTGTTACTGTATTAGCCACAGGAAGGACCCCGTGATAACGCTGATACACATCTAGAAAACAGCAATTTAAATTCTAATATGGGGTTGGAACCCAGCAAAAACATTGTACAGGGGCTTCCTCATACATTTTTCACAAAATTTTCCTGTTTCAAGCCCATGTAAAGCTTCAAATGGTAGGTGGATGCCATCCTCATCAGTTCTGTGCCTTGTGTCTTACTGACTTCTGTAGAAATAGGACTTCTTTGAGTACTGCAGAATAGTCTGATAGAACTTATTATCCCTAGAAGCTACATTTCTACATTTGATGTTAAGAATTGAAGTGTTAGCAAGCACTCTCATACCTTGTTGCTGGTGCTACAAATGGTACAATCTCTATGGAAGGGAATTTGGCACTATCTCTCAAAATTACAAATGCAGTTTTAGGTATTTCACACCTACCTCAGAGACAGCAGTCCCTTTTATGGGACTTTGCAAACATGCACATGTCAGAAATTACTTGTGTATAAAGTTCTTGTATCCTTGTTTATAGTCTCAAGAAAGAAAATAGAGGGAAAGAACCCAAGTGTCCACCCATAGGGGAACTAGCTGAATAAATTGTGATGCATGCACACAACAGAATATGATGCAGTGATGTTGGAAAATGATAACTTTAATGATATAGCAAGAGTTGCAGGATGCTTTGCTAAACAAAAGAGCAAGGTGCAAAACAATAGAGCATGCTACATTTTCTGTAAGAAAGGGGAAACAATAGGTTATCTATTTGCTCATATTTGCATAAGGCAACACTGGAAAGATAACCAAAAAAAACAAATTTAAGTGATTACCTGTAGGGTGGTGGTAGTGGTAGGGAAAAATGGTGTGAGCAAGGGCAGGAATCGGACAAAGATAGTAAATATTTAGGGGAGGTTTAGGAGTGAGGCATCGCAGAGATGGAGGAATGAAGTGGGTAGATAAACCTACCCCTTCTCTAAAAGTGACACCCCCGAGGAGCATTTCGTAAATGTTTTTGTCTCGTAAGAACTAGTTATAACTGGGGC